AAGAATTAGCTGGGCATGGTGGTGCACAGCTGTAATCCCATCTACTTGGGAGGCTGAGGCACTAGAATTACTGAGCCAGGGAAGTGGAGACTGTACCACTGCACTCCCGCCTGGGTGACTAAGACTCTGTCTCAAAAAAAAAAAAAAAAAACGAAAATATAATATACAGCTTAAATATGCATCCTTCATTAAAATAGTCCAGTTCAAGTGGTTTTACATTTATTAATGAAAAACTCACTGTCATTAGTTGTAACCATGATCAGGTAATTGAATTTCCAGACCTAGAAGAGTCACAAAGCATCCCTAACATATCTTACTAATACATGCAGCAGTTTGCCTATGCATGGACTTTTAATTTTATATTTTTATAGATTTAGGAGGTACAGGTGCAGTTGTGGTACACAAATATATTATGTAGTGGTAAAGTTTGGGCTTTTAAAAATAGTAAACATTGTACCCAGTGGGTAGTATTTCATCCCCTGCTCCCTCCCACCTTCCCACCTTTTGGAGTCTCCAGTGTCTACTTTTCACTCTCTGTGTCCACATGGACCCATTGTTTAACTCCCACTTATAAGTAAGAACATTCGGGTTTTGACTTTCTGTTTCTGAATCATTTCATGTAAGCCTTCAGCTCTATCCATGTTGCTGCAAAAGACGTGATTTTATTGTTTTTTATGGCGAAATAGTATTCTGTGGTATATATCTACACTGTATTTTCTTTATCCAGTCATCTGTTGATGGACATTTAGGTTGATTCCATGACTTTGCTAAAGTGAATAGTACTGTGATAAATATATGAATGCAGGTATCTTTTTGATATAATAGTTTCCTTTCCTTTGGGTAGATACCCAGTAGTAGGATTGCTAGATGGAATGGTAGATCTATTTTTAGCTCTTTGATGAATCTCCATGCTGTTTTCCATAGAGATTGTATTTATTTAAGTCCCTACCAATGGTGTGTAAGCATTCCTTTTTTTCCACATCCTTGACAACATCTGTTGTTGGATTTCCTTTGACAAAATCATTTGTTTTCTAATCACAAATTTTAAAAAATTAAATATTTAGGCTATAAAGTTTTGATATTCATCCTGAATGTATGTTGTGGTTCTTAAAGCATTTTAAATTCTTACTTCTATATGTTTGTACATCATTTACTTCATGTAGCCTGTCTGAATTGCTCCCATCTCAAGTCCCATTTCCCCGATGGAGAGGAACATCTAACATCTATTCCTGTTACTCTGTGCCAGGTGCTGATGTTTAACATGTGCTCTCTCATTTAATTCTCCCAATAACTTGGTAAGATAATGTAATAGTGTTAACTTCTGTTTCCCAGATGAGGAAACTAAGGTAGTATGCTCAGGCCCTCCAAGATAGTGAGGATTTGAACTGAAGTTCAAATCTTGCTTTCTTAAAGTCCTGGCTCTGACCCTAACCATGGACCATATTCCCCTCTCCCCACCATAATTTCCTAGTCTGAGCTCCCATAACCTCCTACTTGTATGATTTATTACATGCCCCTAGGTTTTCCCAATGCCTGTTCCAGTGACTTGCATATAGCAGATGCTGAAGGAATATTTGATGGTGAAACAGTTGTTTTCTTTTCTGCAAGGGAGAGGGAATTCCTGTTTAATAATTTTGTAGTCCAAGAACCTGAGCTCAAAAGAAAACCTGCCTCTAGTATCCTTTTAAATACCAGGTTTATAGTAGTCTTGATATTATCTAATTTTCTACTTAGAGGAAAAACTATACAAAAATTAATTTATGTTATATATAGTATTTAAATTTATTATTAAAATGATTCAAGATGCTTAGCTGTTTTTGACTTATGGTTGTCTTTTATTTCATCTCAAGATGAGCACAGATTATTGGCATTGTTTTGTACTAGGTAGAGTGAAGGATATAAAAATGAATGAGGCAAGGTGCCTGCCCTTGGGGCACTTAAATTTTGTTTGGTAAAATGAGAATGTGGACACTCATACTGGCCAAAAAAAAAAAAAAAAAAAAAGCTGGGGGCAGTTGGTGGTTGAATAGGGCTGTAAATTCTTAGAGAGCTGACTGGTAAGTGTTCATGTATGTTTTGGTGATTAATAAATCATTTAGTCAAGATGTCAAGCTTCAAATCATTATCATAAGGTTAAATATGTTATGCATATCTTTACAGCAAGTTTATTTCTGATCGTGAAAGTAGAAGAAGTCTCACAAACAGCCATTTGGAAAAAAAGAAATGTGATGAATATGTAAGTATCATTATAATGAAGTATGTTTTTTTAATCATATAAATTGGGACAGATCTTTTTAATTCAAGTAGCATAATACCAAAAGAAGCATAATTACCTGTATTCACCAAGATATTCCTCATACCTAATGTATTTTCTCTTGAAACCCATTAAAAGAAATAACTAGATCAATAAGAAAGGATTTTCTTGAATTTTATTTCCATATTGATTCCTGAGAGTGCATTAATGGCTTTGGCTTGATGAACTTTCTGGGGATTATTTTCCTTAGTGTCAATGTTTGTTTCTTTATTCAGATTCCAGGTACAACCTCCTTAGGCATGTCTGTTTTTAACCTAAGCAACGCCATTATGGGCAGTGGGATTTTGGGACTTGCCTTTGCCCTGGCAAACACTGGAATCCTACTTTTTCTGTGAGTATTGACGTGCCAGTACTTTCCATTTTAAAACTGAACTTTTTGTATGTTTCTCTTATTACATAGAAGAAATGTGAAATATTTATAAATAGTTTTCTTTCTTTTTTTTTATTAACTTGGCTAAGTTACCAGTACATACTTTGATATTTATTGCTTGAGTGATTTTCCAAAATGTACCTAATGCTTACAACAAAGAAGGAGGAGAAAATCTTTTTATTAATCAAAAATACTGGAATAAGCATTTGTAAAAAGGATTAAAACATTTGAAAATAACTTTTTTTGATACTTTTGGAGTCTACCTGTTACTTTAAATCTCAGTTAAAATATTAAGAGGTGTTTAACTCCCACCAGTCACCACTTTGGCATTTGGATTGCTGTGAAGTGTGTACTACATTGAAGGGCAATTACAAATTTGTTTGTAATAAATACTCAAGAAGCATAGAAATTTTCAGTATTTTGAAGATGAGAAATTAGCATGTACTTTCCTGCTGAGATTCAATGAAAAGAAAATGGGCAATTTTCTTTTTAAATAACTTTATCTCAAACTGTTGAGATAAAGTTATTTAAAAAGAACTTACATGGGACTTTCTGAAATGTATGGAGAGCTTATTTTTAGTTGGAACAAGATTAAGACAGATGATAGAATTCGTGCTAAGAAAATTCTCACCCAGCCTGATTCCCTCTCAAGAGTCACATGAGTGTCAGTGGTGAGGTGAGGGAGAAAGCACTTCTCCCAGGATCTTGCCTTTTTTTCCCTGACTCAAAACTCATGCTCTTCATTGGCCTGGCTAGATAGTCCTTGTTGCCATGTCCTTTTGATAGGAGCATCATTTTCTTAGAAGCAGTGACCGAAATGGTTACTAATCCTACAAACTGTGGATATTCTTTCAAAAACGCATCAAAAATATTACAAAAAATGCATCAAAAACGCAGAAGAATATTACTATGCATCCCATTATTCCGGGAACAGAAATGCCTATCCATGCTGCCCTGTGTTAGGCATTAATATTCTTTTGTGTGTAAACTAACATGTCCTTTCCAAATTTAAAAGACTGTAAAATGGTGAATTTGATACATTGTCTTCCACATTGTCAGCCTAATTTATAGAACCTAACTCTAGCCTCCTCTGTCATCCTGAATGCATCTTTCTAAGTTGCCTTTGCTGCTTGAGCTGAGTGCCAGGTTTTAGGATAATATGGCAGAATTGCATAACATATTTCCATGGTGATTTTTTTTTTTTTGATATATGTGAAATTCTGACTCTCTGAGGACAGTAGATAGCTTGAGGAGCTATACTTCTGGTTTTCAGTGTATTTACATGACACACCTGAGTGCTACTCCCAACTCCTAAATGGCTATGTAGTTTTTTTTTTTTTTAATTGCATTTTAGGTTTTGGGGTACATGTGAAGAACATGCAATATTGTTGCATAGATACACACATGACAGTGTGATTTGCTGCCTTCCTCCCCATCACCTATATCTGGCATTTCTCCCCATGCTAGTAGTTTTAAGCAAGTTTCTTAGCCACTCTGAGCTTCAGTTTCTTCCTTTTCAAAACAAGGAAGTTGTACAAGAAAAATTTTAGAACCAGGCCAACCTCCAAAACACCATGATTCTGTGACTATTTTCTGTCACTCCAAAGCTGGGAATATGTTCAATTCAGAATGTGTATTACATTGATTTTTTTTTAAAGTTATTATACTATATCAACTTATAAGTTAACCTAGAGTAAAAAGTCAATTCTTTGATGATTGTAACAACAGTAACAATCATCAGTAACTCCCATAGCTCTCACTTTGTGCTAGGCACTACTCCAAGTGTTTTATGCAGAATCCTTAACAATAATTCTATGAAGTAGCTGCTATTGTTACTTTCCTGTTTCACAGAAAGAAACTCAGGTATAGAGGGTAACTTTAATTTGGGAATCTCTCTTGACCACCCTTCTGGGGATTTCCTTTACCTCTCTTTTTTTTGCTAGATCCATTGTTTCCTATATTCCATTTATTCCTCTTTCTGGATTTACTTATTGCTGTTATTGCTTAGAAAAGGTGACTGAAAATAAAATTTTTGAGACCTTTATGTCTGAAAAATATTTTTATTCTACTTTTACCTTTGATTTGTAGTTTGACTGGATATAGAACTTTATACTAGAAATAATTTTCCTTCAGAATTTTGAGGGTATTGCTCTATTTCCTTCTAGCTTTTTTCTATTGTGAAGTCCTATATGCTTCTGATTCCTGATCTTTTATGTATAGCGAGGTTTTGTTAGTTTTTTTTTTTTTTTCCTGGAAACTTGTCAAATCTCTTAGTTTCCAATATCCTGCAGTTTCACAATAATGTGCCTTGATGTGGGCCTGTTTTCATCACTTGTGTCAGGCACTGGCTGCATTCTCTTCTTTTAGAAATCCATGGCCTTGGCCTTGGCCAGGCATGGTGACTCACACCTGTAATCCCAATGCTTTGAGGGGCAGGTGGATCACCTGAGTTCAGGAGTTTGAGACCAGCCTGGCCAGCCTGGCCAATATGGTGAAATGTTGTCTCTACTAAAAATACAAAAAATTAGCCAGGCATGGTAGCAGGTGTCTGTAATCCCAGCTACTCTGGAGGCTGAGGCAGGAGAATCACTTGAACCTGGGAGGTGGAGGTTGCAGAGAGCCGAGATTGCACCACTGCACTTCAGCCTAAGCAACAAGAGGGAAACCAAAAGAAAAAAAAAGAGAAAGCAATCCAGGGCCTTCAGTTTGGGGAATTCTTTTTATATTATTGTGTTGATGGATTCCTCCCTTCTGTTGTTCTTTGCTGTCTCTGGAACTACTACCCCCAGATTTTGGACCTTCTGTACTGGTCCTCTAGTTTTTTTAATCTTTCCTTTATTTTCATTTCTATAATGTTTCACTGTAATTGTTGGGATATGTCCTCAATTTTTCCCCTCTTTATTGAATGTTTTTTGTCAGTTACTATTTTTTATTTATAAGAGCCTGAAAACTCTAAGAATGTTCCTTTTTAATATTATTTTGGTTCTGTTTTATAGTTTCATTGTCTTCTCTGAGGATTCTAATGATAGTTTTTTCTCCATTATGAAAAATTTCAAACATAAAGTAGAATAGTAGAAAAAGATTTCTATGTTTCCTTCCTTCTATGGATGGTTGCTTTAGTCAATTCCCACCAAGATTGTCTTGAAGCAAATCTCAACTATTTTATTATTTCAGCCCTAAATATTTTAGTATATACCTTATATAAAATATAAGGACTCTTTTTACTCAATATGTCATACCTAGAAACAAGTCAACAACAGTTCCCTAATATCATAAAATATATAATCAGTATTTAAATTGTTCTAATCATGTTATGTTTTTAAACAGCTGGGTTGTTCAAATCAGTATTCAAATAAGGTTCATACAATGCAATTGGTTGACATGTGTTTTAAGTCCTTTTAAATTTATATTTTCCCATTTCTCTCCTTTTATTTGGTGCCATTTATTTAAGAAACTGTGCCATCTGTGTAAAGGTTTCCACAATCTGGATTTTGCTGTTTGTATCCCTGAGATACAAGCTGATTTTTGCTTGTTTCGGGTTCTTTCACTTTATACTCTTTTCTCAGATGTCAGATGGGTCTTCTTTGTCTGCTATCTTCAAGAATGGGGAGAAACAAGGCTGATTTGAGTCTGGCATACATGAACGGGGCTCATTCACAATAGCTTCACTTAGGATGCTCTCGAGCCCTTTACTTGGGAACCACCAGGGTCAGTTTGTCTAGGACCCTTCTCTTTGGCTTTTCATATCACCCAGAGAAGAGCTTCCAATCCCCTGTTCTAGGGGGCTGGACCTCACTACCATCCTTCTGGGAACCAACTGGGGGAAAGGGCTGGGATGATTATCCCAAATGACATGTGTTCACCCAGTTCCCAGTTTTCATTAGAGTATGAAAGCTTCCTCACAAATTGTGCCTAATTCTCTCACCTAGAAACATATATTTTATACTTTCCAGAGAACATATCTTCAGATTGTTGCCAGGATGGGAGCGGACCAACCACTCAGCTTCAGAGAGTAGAAACTGGTCTAAGGAATCTAGCTATTTCTTGAAAGAAGTTCAACAGAGCCTCACTATTTTAGCTCATCCCTTTAATTGTCCCCTACTTTCAGTCATGCCAGCAGTGCCTTTTAGAGATTCTGTGAGGTAAACTGAGTGGGTCTTGGCTTTTTCCACTGTCAATTTATGGTTCAATTCTGTCTGCTTTCCAGCTTTCAAAATTTCATTATTTTCTACTCTTATGTGCTATCCTAGAAGCTTTATGGCTTAAAGAAGAATTAAATCTTTTTATTGGGAGATCAAGGGAGCAGGAGTAAGTTCTTGTATTCAATTTGCTACTCCTGGAATTCAATTGATTTTTAACTATACTGGCTGAGGAATAACTGATCTCCTATCTCATGACACTTTAGTGTCTAATTAAAGCGGGAAATTGGAAAAATTTGATTTTATAGTTGAAGGAAGATTTCTCCTGGATGAAACTATTATAGATCATTTAGTTATTTGCAAGATGCATGGATAACAAGCGCAACACACCAAGACTTCAGGCTGAAGCTCATGAAGTTTGTTGTACAAAGACTCAAATTTTAAGTTTCTTACTAAACTTAGGACTCTCCTACCTCAGGACAAGGACTCACTCTGTGACTGTTGTAAAACCAGCTGTTCCTACAGCTGCTCAAGGCCAAGAAGCAGTTGGCAGGATTAAGATATTTTATCTGGTACAGGGCTCCATTCCAGACTCACATTGGCCAACACAGGAAAGGAGTCCAAGACTGTCCAGGCTTCTTTGGACCGGCAGCTGGGAAGGCTCCTCGGTGTCTCCCTGAGGCTGGGTGTGGAGCCTTCTCTGGGGTCCTCTGGAAACTTGTTGGTGTGATTTCTTTTTCTTGGATGAGGTTGTGGCTCATTTTTTTGACCTACTTTTAATGGCTGTCCTCCCTGTATAACATACTCTAATTCAGTTAGATT